CGGAAGAGTGTGTGTTGTGTATATTTGCTGCCTGAGTTATTTGTAGTTATTTGTAGTTAGTAATAACTGTGTATTACAAATCAATCAATCAATCAATCAATATTGTGGCTTCAAAAGCAGTTCCAGGAAGGAAGAAAACATGTTTCGGAAACCTCACACATTTGACCTATGCCCTTTGAGGCAAATCTGGTCTGTTCTATGCCAAAATTTCTCTATATTTTTGGTAAAGCAGGAATCCAGATGAACGGGCCTTAGCAGTGCAGTGGTTAAAATGCAGTACTGCAGGCTACTTCTGCTGACTGCCAGTTGCCTGCAATTTCGAAGTTTGAATCCCATCAGGCTCAAGGTTGACTCAGCCTCCCATCCTTCCGAGATGTAAATAAGGGTAAAATGAGGACCCAAATTGTTGGGGCAATAGGCTGATTCTGTAAACCATTTAGAGAGGGCTGTAAAGCAGAGGTTGTATTCAGCAGGTTCTGACCAGTTCTGGAGAACCGGTAGCAGAAATGTTGAGTAGTTCAGAGAACCGGCAAATGCCACCTCTGATTGGAGATTTTCCTTCCCCTGCCACGCCCACCAAGCCACGCCCACAGAACTGATAGTAAAAAAAAAATGAATCCCACCACTGCAGTAAAACACTGCAAATTGATATATAAGTCTAAGTGCTACTGTGCTGTCCAGACAGTATAGGGGGATTGGGAATTGAGATAGTTAAGTTAGAATTGGGAGCTGTCCCCTTAAGGGAATGCCTCATGGTAAATGTAGTTAATGCATCATGGGAAATGTAGTTCATGTCATGTGCTCGCATCTGTAATCCTGATTGGTCACTAACTGACCCTTGGTTGGGTTGGGGGAGTTTCCTTTCTCCTGCTTGGATCCCAGCAGTGTGCTGGTGTCTCACTCTTTGCTCCAGCATTATGGGATGAAATATCACTATGCTTTTACACTATGAAGTCATCTGTGCAAAGAGTTTGACATTAAGATGAATCTCTCTAGGGCGGAACTGGCGTCGCGACGATATGGCATGCAATCTTGGAGTTCTGAGATCGCTGCCGATATCTTTGCTCCTGGATGGTCCATACGGATCTAAACCGTCCTGAAGAGATGGTGAATGTAAAGAGCGCATCCTGTAGATTCCAGGGATATCGCAAAGTCCCTGGTTTAATTTTTTCTAGTTCAATATTGTCCCTTGGAGAGAGCTTGTTATAATCATCATGTTATAATAAGCCACCCAGTGTTCTGACCCGGGCTTCATAAACCTTAATTACACACACACTTATTTTGAAAACAAGACTTATTTTATTGCAATGCTGGTAATTGTTTTCATTCCCAGCTGGAATTAATTCTAGTCACCTGAGATAAGCACACACCTTTCAGTTCTGTGAGGTGCTACCAAAAACAGAAGTATCAAAGGAACTAGGGAAAAAAAACCAACTAAAGTACAAAGAGCTTCAAGAATGACTGAACCAATTGAAGTACTTGCTTCCTGCAAAGGTTTTGTCATCTTGGCCTGACCTTTATACCTTAGAGAAGGGGCAATCACCTCCAAGCCTTACTCTTGAGTCACCCCCTTTGTCTCAGCTGCTCTCGCCTTCTTCCCCACAGTCCAATTCCACTACCGTCTGCACTGGCTGCTAGCGAACCACAACACCCAGTTACCTTGAGGTAAGATGGGCAGCCTATAAATTTTATAAATCAATACATAATAAATGATTGTTAAGCAGTTCAGGTGCTGGATTAGAAACTAGGGGACCATGAGTTCTAGTTCCCTTTAGGCATGGGTGACTTTTGGCCTGTTATTCTCACTTGGCCAACCCACTCACAAGATGGTGGTTGTGAGAAAAATAGGAGGAGGTATTCACCTTGAATTCTGATCTCTTTTTAACACTTATGGTCAGCTGAACCACATAATCAGCCAACTTTTATCACAAGTTAGTTTAGTTTTAGTTTATTTTATTTTATTGTCATTGCACCTTGTACAACAAAATCGAACACCATCTTCAGTGCACATCATGACCATGAAAATAAACACACACATCCTTCACACTCCACACATTGAATTGAAAACCTCCAACCCCTCACCAACACTGCACTATACAGTAGAATTCAACAGAGCTTCTGCCCTGGGATACAAGCTGTTTTTCAGCCTATTTGTCCTTGTTTTTATTATCCTGTACTGTTTGCCAGATGGTAATAGTTCAAAAAAAAGGGGGGGGGTGCCCAGGATGAGATGGATCTTTGAGGATGTTTTGAACTTTCTTAAGGCAGCGGGAGCTATGAAGCTCTTCCAAAGAGGGGAAGAGGGCAACCAATGATCTTCTGGGCAATGACGTTAACCCCCTGGAGTGCTGTCCTTATCTAACCCTGTGCAATCGGCAAACCATACAGAGGTGCAGTAAGTTAAGATATTCTCTATGGTGCAGCTGTAGGTCACCAGCGGTTTTTCATTCTGTTGTTGTTTTCTGAGAAGTCTTAGGTAGTATAATCCCTGCTGGGCCCTTTTGACCAGGGCTGCAATGTGGGCGTCCCAGGTTAGATCCTCTTTTATGGTAACACCCATAAACTTAAAACTGGCCACTTGCTCCACTCAGTCTCCATTGATAAGCAAGGGCTGGATGTTTGATCTGTTCCTTCTATAGTCCACTATAAGCTCCTTGATCTTATTGGTGTTACTTTCTCTTCTGAGAAAAACTTACCCCGATCAATCATGGATGGTTCAAATTCCTTTCTAAATCAGAGAATCTCAGCTTTGGATGGAATTCCTAAAAGCATATGGGGCTGGGCTTCAACCCCCAATGCAACCATGGCTTTGTCATTAAGTGGGAAATATTATTGGGGATCTAGGGAAGGAAACCTTTTATCTCGTACTTTGTAACTCTGGAATGCTGTCCAAATTCCTGTCCTGTATGAGTTAAATGGCGCATTTAAAAAGAAAGAATGAAGCACCAAGAATGAAACGTTATATTAAACAATTCTGAGACTAGTCCTTAAAAGAATGATAACCAAAAGAGATCTTTATTCAGGAAATTACATGATGACAGCAAAGCTAAGATTGCCCATCTGTGGCTTAAAACCGGCATTTTTATTTTTATTTTTGGTCATTTCAACAGATGAGAAAGCCTGAAGACTAAATAAAAGAGAATGGAAAGTTTTGACAGCCCTTATAATTAATGTTCAATGACAGAGATTTAACAGATTAACAGATGAAACGGACCTTGTAGGTCACCCGCCCAAACAGGAGACCCTACACCATTTCTGACAAATGGCAGTCCAATATCTTCTTGAAAGCCTCCAGGGATGACGCTCCCACAACTTCTGAGGACAAGCTGTTCCATTGGTTGATTGTTCTGTCAGAAAGTTTCTCCCTATTTCCAGGTTGAATCTCTCCTTGTTTAGCTTCCATCCATTATTCCTTGTCTGGCCTTCGGGTGCCTTGGAAAATAGCTTGACCCCTTCCTCCCTGTGGCAGCCCCTCAAATATTGGAAGACTGCTATCCTGTCTCCCTGGTCCTTCTCTTCACTAGACTAGCCAAGCCCAGTTCCTGCAACTATTCATCGTATGTTTTAGTCTCCAGTCCCCTAATCATCCTGGTTGCTCTTCTCTGCACTTTATTTTCTAGAGTCTCAACACCCTTTGGATGCAATATTCTAGGTGTGGTCTTACTAAGGCTTTATGAAGTGGTATTAGTACCTCACTTGATCTTGATTGTATCTCTGTTAATGCAATTTAGGATTGTAATAGCATTTTTGGCTGCTGCCGCACACTGCTGGTTGATATTTAGCTGGTTGTCCACTAAGATTCCAAGATCCCTCTCACAGTTACTGCTATTGAGCCTGGTTTCACCCAATCTATATGTGTACTTTGGATTTTTCTTGCCTAAGTATAAGACTGTACTTTTCTCTACATTGAATTTCATTTTGTTAGATAGGGCCCAGTGTTCTAATCCGTCAAGAACCATCTGGATCTTGAGCCTATTATCTAGGGCAGGGGTCTTCAAACTTGACAGCTTCAAGACTTGTGGACAACTCCCAGAATTCCTCCTCCAGTCATGTTAGCTCAGGAATTCTGGGAGTTGAAGTCCACAAGTGTTCTGACCCAACCGGGTTCCCAAAGAGCAAACACAGACAAAGGCAGCAGCCCCCACCTTTTAAAGTTTAATAACAAATGCTGTTCCTTTACAGATAAATGGCTGCTTTCCACTAATTAGCTCCGACAAGAGCCTTGCCAAAGTGTTCATCAAGGCTGCCAAAAGTCCAGACATAAGAACTAATTTACAAACACGAACTAAGATGTCCACCAGTTGAATTTAAGAGCTTCTTTGCTTTCTGCAAAGAACACTTTTTCAAACCTGGCTTTTATCCTCTTGAGGAAGGGGGCATTACCTTGTAGCCTTACTCCCGAGTCGCCTGTGCTGCTGTAATTGTTCTTTCCTCCGAGCAATCCTTCGTGCACTTGCACTTGGCACAGGCTCCTCGGGAACCTCCTCATCACTGCGGCTAGCCCCCACAATCTCTGAAGGCAGCAGTCCACTCCCTGATGGTCCTGGCCCCTCATCAGAGTCCTCGCTCTCCTCAGCCATCTGCACCTGCTGCTAGCTAACCACAACAAGTCTTAAACTTGCCAAGTTAGAAGACACTTGATCTAGGGTGTAAATACAGCTAAATAGATGTAAATAGAGCTACAAAAAGAGCAAAATCGAAGGTCAGAGACAATGTTATATCACTATGTTAGGTGCTTCTAGTGGTCAGTAATCTGAGAAGGGTTCCAAGGTGTATATTTTAAGAAAGACCAGATTCAGGGCTCTATATAACAAATGCTCAACATTGCTCAAGAATTCAGTCATATTTATTCTCCGTTTTCCTCAGAATCATGATTCCATCTTCTCTTCCATTCATTCCCTAACATTTCATTTCCCCACAGTAATAAATATAGCTCAAGGACCGCAGAGTCCAAAATTGTTGACAATTTGCTTATACGGTTCTACCCTGTTTCTTTTTATGTGTTTCCCTTGAGTGAATTTTTCTATGCTCATAAAGGGACTGGTGCTGGGTAAAACCCTTTCCACACACTGGGCAGATGTATGACTTTTTCCCAGTATGGATCCTTTGATGGGAAGTGAGGGAACTTGACACAGTGAAACATCTTCCACACTCAGCACATTTATAGGGTTTCTCCCCAGTGTGGATTCGGTTATGTTCAGTAAAATGATGTTTTTCACTAAAGGTCTTTCCACATTCCTTGCACGCAAACGGTTTCTCCCCGGTGTGGATCCTTTTATGGGAAGGGAGGTGTTTTGCTGAGCGGAAGCTCTTTCCACACTCCGTGCATTTATAGGGTTTCTCCCCGGTGTGGATTCTGTTATGTACAATATATTGACATTTTTGTCTGAAACTCTTTGCGCAGTTCTTGCATTCGTAGGGCTTCTCGCCGGTGTGGATCATTTTGTGGGCAGCAAGAGAACTTGAAGCTCTGAAACTCTTTCCACATTCCGGGCACTTATATGGTTTTTCCCCGGTGTGGATCCTTTTATGGGAAGTGAGGCAACTTGAATTAGTGAAGCGTTTCCCACAATCTGTGCATTTATACGGTTTCTCTCCGGTGTGGTTTCGGTTATGTACGGTATACTGATATTTTTGACTGAAGGTCTTTCCGCACTTGGGACATTCATAGGGTTTCTCGCCTGTGTGGATCTTATTATGGGATGTGAGGCTTTGTGCAAAACGGAAGCTCTTTCTGCATTCCTTGCATTCGTAGGGTTTTTCTCCTGTGTGGATTCTTTTATGGGAAGTAAGGTAACTTGAGTCCCTGAAGCTTTTCCCACACTCTAGGCATTTATACGGTTTCTCTCCTTGTATTCTCTGATGTAGAGTAACTGAGAAGGTCCTTCTGGGACGTTTTCCATGTTCGTTTTGTTTCCCTGCCATGTGGCTTCTGCAGCAGTCGCATAATCCGGATTCATCTGTGAGTATTTTTCCGCACTCTGGCCAACCTTCTTTTTCTGGGTGATCCTCTTTACCCAAGAAGTCACTGATATCTACATGAGGTAAAGTAGGGTGCGTTCCCAGCTCCCCCTTTAACCGTTTTTCCTCAGAATTTTGCTTTCCAAAAAACGTCTCTGCAGTTTTCACCTTATCTTTTGGCAATGGTGTTGCTGGTTCATGCCCGGAACTGAGCATCTCCCATTCATCCTCTGCTTAGAAGAAAGGGGAAAGAAAGAAAGAAAGAAAGAAAGAAAGAAAGAAAGAAAGAAAGAAAGAAAGAAAGAAAGAAAGAAAGAAAGA